GCTGTATAACAGTCCACTGCTAGACATTTAAACTGGTATATCCATCCCACTGAAATGTGCTTTCTCATATATTTGCGATCCAGGAACAGTGTCCCTTTATTCTCTAATTCTGGGCTAAAGATGACCTTTCTCCTGATCTGGAACACGGTAATTCCAGAGTAGAAAGTTCAAATGAGCCATATATATGGAATTTCAAAGATGTTAGGTTTTATAGCAGGATAATTTTGGATGTATTCAGTACAGCATTCCTTCACAGTGGAGCCAGCAGTCATTTTAAATTTAGGAAACTTAAGAGATCTAACAGAAAAGTTCCCTTTCTGTCATTTACCGGGAAGAATGAAATGCTAGTATAAACTAGTTCATTAATAGACAAAAACAACAATGGTAAGTAGTGCAAATACATATTCAGGTGACCTACTGTATCCCCCTGAGAGCTTATCAGTAGCTGTAGAGAAATTTGTGGCCATTTCCTATCCGATATAAAAACTCATAATGTCTCTGTTCACACTGGTTTTGAGATGGCATTCCTTAAGTAATACCTAAGCTTAAAGGTCATCATTTTCACAGTCTCATTTCTTAACAAAATTTGGGGCAACTGTTATTTCAATAGATCTTCCGAAATTTACCTGATATTAATTATACAAGAACTTAATCATCTTAATTGGCCTGCAGGTTTACTTTGACAAAAAATGTTCATTTAATGTAATTTAAATTTCGGATTGGTACAATAAGGGTATGTAGCAGGGTGGTTACCCGCTCTTGCCTGGAAGGGCTTAAAACAGCCCTGGGAGAGGGCTGGGGCAGGGGAAAAGCTGGGCTGATTGGCAGAGCAGCCGCAGCTGGGGCCACGCCCCAAACAGAGCACAGCTGGCCCTTATAAAAGGGCTGTGAGCCAGGGGCTGAAAGAGTCTCCCTCTGGCTGAGGAGGGAGATGGACCTAGCTGCCTGAGTGCTAAAGGGTACTAGAGTGAAGCAGGGCTGGGAAAAGGCCAGAGGAGTTGGGGAGCTCCAGGCCAGCAACTCCCCAGGCTGCAGGGCCTTGTACAAGGCTCCTGGAGGTACTGGGTTGCAGGGAAAGGCAGCAGGTCCAAACCTCCCTTGCCTATGATTACTGGCTTATACAGACTGTAGTCGGCCCCAGTGGAAAGTGGCTAGAAGGTGACTGGCAGAAGCCCATAGGCGGAGGCAAGGTGGGGATAGAGGGTTGGGGGTTTCCCAGAGAGGGGAGACCCATAGAGACTGGTGGGGGTATTGCCAGGGGGAAGCCCCTGGGTAAAGGGGCACTGGGTCTGGGAGGGGAACGGGGGCCAGCGGCAGCGGGACACTGGCCTGCAGAGGGTGCTCTGAGGGCTGGAGAGCTAATTCCCTGGGACGACCAACAGGAGGCGCCGCAGGGGTGAGTCCCACCCCGTTACAGGGTGAAAGAAAAGAAGAAGGTCACAGCACAGCCAAAAGAAAGATATTGGCCAAACTCAGTCCTGGTGTACATGGGTGCTTCTGTGACTTGCAATGGAATAGCAAGCCAGTCAGTTCAATTGTGTTGGTTCAATTGTGCAAAGCCTGGCTTTACAAGGGCTGGTTTTGGTATAATATATGCAAAACAAAACTATTTATACTGAAAAAGTGACAGGACAGTAACACTTCATGCTGTGATGTGGAGTACCCAGGTGCGGAACCAGTTTGAGATGTCTTGTTCAGACCATAAAGGTGATAAACTCAGTAGATGGGGAACTCACTAGATATGCAGTCACCTCCTGCTGGCCAATTTCTGGAGCAGTAACAGAGCTGCTTGGAGATGGGCACTCATTAGTTCTTTATGCATTCTTATTGTCTTAAGAGAGGAAAGTATACAGTTTAAAAGGAGTAGAATGCTAGAACCTCTGAAGGAAGGGGATTCTCCTTCTCCATATGGATTCATTATGGAGAGAACCTATCCTTGGACGAATAAGTGCACAACAGATTTAACAAGTTCTTGCCTAGCTCTGACTTCTTTGAAGCTCCACTTGTCTTTTCACAGTCAATTCAGGCTAGTTAAACAGCCTGTAGCAAAATCAAACCAAGAGTAGGCCTGGAGTTTGCATCCTTTCCAATACTGGATCAGCTGTTGTGACTCAGAAATAATGCTTGCATAAGGCAAAGTACTTATTCTCAGATGTCAGGATAAGAACAGGAGTTTTTCAGCCTGTTCAAGAGCCAGAAACAGAAAAGTTTGGTTTTGCCTGTGCTCCTGTAGTTTGTAACCCAGTGAAATGCACCAAAAGGTCTCATTAGAATGCAACCTTGGAAAAAGTGCAGAAGAGCAGAAGCAGAGGAAAAGGCTGGGAGAGAAGAAAAGGGGAGGCACCTGGAGGACAAAAAGATCACACAAAAAAATAGAGGAAAGATAGTGACAAATAACATGCCTCATGCCTGTTCTAGGGAGAATATCTGAAAGGGTAAGAGGATAATTCAGCCTCCATGAACCATTTCTTGTTTGACGAGCTGCCAACATGGATGTCAAGTAGGGGTGGTCGACCAGCATTGATGTTGGATTTTGTGATGTGGGCACCTGATTCCTGTGAACTGGATTGAGATTACCAAGCCATTTTACATAGGCCACTGAATAGTCAGATGAGGACAACTTTCAGTCAGGACCATTTTAGGCTGGATTTTAAGTAGGCACCTAAAAATGAAAGCCTATGTATCTCACTACAGAGATACCCTGAGTCATCCAGTCCCCAAGTACAGCACGTTACTTTCATGTATTACTACCTCAGGGTAAGGTTACATGAGAACGTATTTCCTGAAAAGGAATACATTTAAAAAGATACTTATATTCCACTTAGTTGTCTTAATAAATAAGGGGTGTCACTAAAATATGCAATTTGTGTATATGAGGCAGTTACAAGGGGATGCATATGTCAACCTCAAGCATGATTTATTTTTGCATGACTTTTCTGACAGTTGCAATTTAACGGCTGTATTTTCCTCCAGTCTCAAAAACTTTCATGATTCTAGTTTTGTGGTAGAGGAGTAAATGTCTGTTTTCAAGTACAATTTTATCTGAGTCATTTAGGGAGAGGTGTGGCGCAATTGAAACATGACTATCAACATAAGTAAAACGAGATGCTCTGGTCTGTGTGGCACTGTTATTGCCAACTGAATTGCATATAATATTGTGAAATAAAATATCTAATTTATTAAAATCTAAATACAAAGGAACATCACAATACACAATAAGATCTGGGGTGGGGGTAAAGAGAAGAGTGCAAGGACGAGGGAAAAGAAGGTTTCTGCATGGTTAGCCACATCGACAACCCAAGTAAGGGTTAATATTCCAAACACGACAGAATAGTATTTCTTTCAGAAGTTTAAAAGAGTGAATAAACCCCATGTAACTCTCTCTCTCTCTCTGTCACACACACACACACATTATTCTCTATCCATGGAGTATCCGCCAACTATCTCTCAACACCAGTGACTGTCATGGCCTTTTTTGTTCTAATAATAAATAATTAATTTAAAATATTTAGCATTTTTCAAAATGAAAGTGCTTCACATCTTCAGATATTTACAAATATTAATCAGTCCTCAGGATGCACACACACCCACACCACACCACACACACCACGCCTCCCCGCCCCCCTCCCGTGAGGGAAGTTCAAAAGGTAAGCGT